ATTTATAGGATATCTCATGAAAGAATTATGGCAAGAGAATGTGGGAAGAATTATGGCAAGTAGGGTTTTGGGATTACTTGGAGAATTGAGTAAAAGAATTAAGGAAAGTTTGGATATTAAGGTGATTGTGTATACTTGAATATGGAAGGTATGTATGTCGCGGAAAATAATGAGGAAATTAGAATTACTTGGGGAATAATTAAGAAGAATGAATGGCAAGAAATATGATGATTAGATATTAAAAAGATGGAGAATTAGAATTAAATAAGAGATTTTGGGAGATAATTAAAAATATAATTTTACCAATTAAATTCCCCCAAATAATTCAATAGGGCCAAAAAATATTGATCTTACCATATCTAAAATATTCGTATTCCTCTAGATATATTTAGGAAGATTTTGCTCGGTTTTTAAGGAATAAAATAATCGTATAAATAATATAGAATAATTATTAAATAATTAATTAATTAAATACCAATTATTTACCAATAAATAATCAAGAAAAATCAGATTTTTCATACATGGAAAATCCGAAAATCCTAGCTAATTGGAAAATTTCGGCCATGATAAAATAATTAATTAAAATTGATTTGCTTTAATTAAAATTTCCAAAATATGTAAATAATCGGTTTTAAAATAGGATAAATGGATAATAAATCTTATCCAAAATAATTATTAGTTTTCAAAATGATTTTGGTGCCAAAATTCAAATATTATTTTGGCTCCAAATAATAAATTTACTAAAATACCCTTTTTATAAAAATACTTCTTAATTAATTAATTAGAAAATTTGTATGAAAATACAGGGTATTACAATATGGATTAGCAAAATATGCTAAGTACGATAAGTGCAAGATAACTAAACTCAATTATTCGCAAATATGCTTTCAAACCAATTTCCAATGATTAACCAATAAATTCCAAAACTCATGATAACCAATACTCAATATACTTAAATATTATTTCAACAACTCAATAAGAATGGTTATTAAAATCAATTATTTCAAAACTCCTGAAAACATAATAATTATTCATAAAATCAATTAACTAAATCTCCTCTTTAAGTGTGCACACCCCCAAGCTAGTCTCCTACTATTTCAAGGCCATTCTTGAAAAAAGACTAAGTCATACAAGTCAATAGTCTTCAATGAATTACAAAAAACATGCTTGTAAAGCTTTTTAAATAATCAATAAACCACTCTAACTCATTAATTTCAATAATATCTCAAACTCCTTTTTAATTAAATTCAACATACTTTTAAAATCAAGTCTTTAAAACATGATAAATAATTTAAATCATTCAAAACATGATATAAAAATCAATACTCCAATTTTTTTAGGAAAAATTAGAAATATTAATCCCAACTTTGTCTAATTTATGTAGAATAATCCCAACTTTCGTTAATACTAGAATAATCCTAACTTTATGGGGTCTTGAATTTCTTCAATCCCAGTTGACTTGGTACCAGCTATGTAGGTAAACATTACCCAATTGACTGAGTAAGACCCTTTTTGACTTAAGGGCTTCATTTCCCTCCCAAACTAATAGCTGACGTGGAACACTCAACAACCCATCAACTTCAACATTAAACCTGCCATTAATTCTCTGTAAAGAGAGTTAGAAAACCGTACTCTCCACCATAATTAAACACACCCACTCTGAAATTGTCGTTGTATGTGAATCGCCATTTCTGGAAAGCTTGGAACTTGACGAGAGGAAGAACCACTAAGAAGGACTGTTTGATTCACAGTTCAGGTAACCCTAAAACCTTTCGAATGTCGGTTTTTTGTTTAATTTTTTTTTGGTTGTGAAATGTTCTGGAAGATATTTTTTGTTTTTTATGTTGGTTTGTTTGGTGGTTTGGATTTGGATTTGTTCTTGATTTACTTTTCAATACTCACTACTTTGTTGAATTATTGGATTTAATTGAATTATAAATAATTGATGTTAGATTTGTAGTAATTTTGTTTTTTGTTGCTGGTTGTTTGATTGTGATGAATTATTAGGTTGGAATGAGTTCGTTTTTTCAGAAAATCAGTTTGAAATTCTGGTATAGAGGGTTATTTAAGACCCTACACAATGGTCAACTGGTATATAAGGGTGGTACATGCAGGACAAAATCAGTGGACCCTGATGAATTATCTTACTTTGACCTTATGGATTTGGGGAAAGAATGTTGTAAGGGTAAGGTTGTTGGGGGTCTGTTTTATTTGATTCCTGGACTGAGTATGAGTGATGGGTTGAGGAGAATTAATACTGATGATGATGCAGTTGAGTTGGGGATGGTTGGGAAGAAGTATAGGGGTGTTGAGCTGTATATTTCTCATGTTGAAGAGGAGGTAGATGATGACCCAGAAGAACCAGAAATTGAGCCAATCCAAACTCAACCCTTGTTAGTAACACAAGCTTCACAAAGTACACCTAATTCTTCTAAACATCCAAAATTAGAACCAAAAAGGGGCCCAAAAAAAAGTTATTTTGAATAAAGTAAGGTCAAGTCCTAGGAAGAAACAAAGCACTCAACCACAATTAATACCAAAAGGAGTTTCCCCACCAAAAAGAGAGCATCTTCCATCTCACTCCAAATAAAAGAGCCAGATATTAATGTTGCACCCACTTCTTATCTTCATGGCCTAGATCTAAAATCTGTGCTTCCTGGTACTTCAATTATATCCTCATTGAACCCTACTTCTTCCCCTGTTAAAAAGAAACCCTCCCCAAACCAAGAACCAGTTGAGGAACCTGATTTTGATTGGTATGATGACAGGCCTGATTCTCCTATCCCACTAAATGACCTTATTCCAGATTACACTGATGACAGTGATGACCAAGACCCACCTTATGATCCTAGGGTAGACAAAGGGAAAGGAGTAGCTGTTGGGAGTTCAAAAGAAGGTGCAGGCATATTTGGTGAAGTTTATACTGATGTTGAGACTGAGGAGGATGAGTTTGAAGGTGATATAGGTGAAGAGGTGGACTTAGAGAAGTTAGATCTAGAAATAGAGGATGAATTTGATGAAGCTTTGTTACAAGAGGAGTTGCAAAGTGATTCTGATGTCAGTGATGAGGAGTTTGCTACAGCTAAGGAGAGAGTGAAGGCTTGTAATAGTCCTTTGTTGGAACTACCTCAGCAAAAGCAAAGAGAAGCTGCTAAGGGGAAGGCTGCAGATGAAGAAGTAACAGGTGTTGTAAAGGATGAAGGGGGTCCAAGTCTAAGAGTATAAGGAGAGTGAAGATGAAGCTTTATCACCAAATGTTAGTGAAGAAGAGGCTGATGATGGTAGGAGGAAGAGGAGAGCATCTTTGTTAGTCAGTCCAGATTTTGATTTCTCTCAGTTTCAATGGAAAGTTGGCTATAGGTTTGCAAAAAGGGAAGATTTCAGACAGTCAGTTGCTAAGTATGCTGTTGTTCAAGGGAAAAATTTGACCTTCACTGTTGGGAATAGGAATAGGCAGCAAAGGTTGGGAGTGAAGTGCAGTGGTGATTGTCCTATTTACATATATGCATCATGGCATTCTATAAAGGTATCATACATAGTGAAGAGGGTTTGTGGACAGCATACTTGTAATAGAACAATGAAAAGAACAGGCAAATGAAAGACAATTGGGTTGCACAACAATTCCTTGATGTGTTTAAGACCAGACCCCACTGGCTTGCCAAGGAAATAGTTGATTGCATAAGAAGAGCATACAAGGTTTAGTTCCTAGAGAGTTTGCATATAGGGTGAAATATGCAGCTCATAAGCTATTACATGGCTCAATGTTTGAGCATTACCAGAAAGTATGGGGGTATTTGGCTGCTTTGGAGAGTTGCAACCCTGACTCCCACTCTGCATTAGTGACTGTCATGCCTAAGCAACCCCCACCCAGTATTTCAGAGGTTATTTATTTGCTTTGAGGGTTGGTTAAAGGTGGATTGAGGGATGTAGAAGGGTGTTGGCTATTGATGGTTGTTTCCTTAAAACATTTTTTTTGGGGGGGGGGGCAGCTCCTAGTTGTTGTTGGGAGGGACTCTAATGATCAGATGTACCCTTTGGCATGGGCTGTAACTGAAGGGGAGAACCTGTTGAGTTGGGAATGGTTTTTGATGCATTTGCAATTAGCCCTGCAGCTTGGTGATGGTGATGGACTAGCAATCATCAGTGATGAACATCAGGTACACATCTTGTAATGCAATTGGTAGATTTTTTTTTTTGTTTGACTATATGTTTATGGTTATGTTGTTGTAATGTAGGCTATCTTGACGGGTGGTTTCCTCTGTTCTGCCAAAAGCAGAACATAGACATTGTGCCAGACATGTGTATGCAAACTGGTCCAAAACCTACAGGGGAGATGAATTTAAACTCCAATTTTGGAAGATTGCAAAGTCTTACAATACGGCTGACTATGAGGATGCACTTGCTGAGTTAATTGAGATCAATGATGAAGCTGCACTAGCTTTCAAAGCTTACAACCCAAGTGTATTTTGCAGAGCATTCCTAAGCATATGCTTCAAAACAGATGCAATTACAAGTAATATAGCTGAAAACCTTCAACGACTATATTATAAATGCAAGGACAAAGCACCTTCCGCACATGCTTAAGGATATCAGAACAAGCTTGATGCAAAGATTGGTTCAAAAAAGGCAAGTAATGGAGAAGTGCACATCTGTGCTTTGCCAAAGGATCTAGATCAAGCTGAATCAAGAAGAAAGACAAAGATTCAAAGTGTGAGGTGCTCCCTTCATCAATGCATTTATTTAATGTCACATGTGGACAAGATCAAGTTGTTGTGGATTTGGATGCAATGAGTTGTACCTGCAAGAAGTGGGATATGCTAGGCAAACCATGCAGGCATGCAATTGCCTGCATCTTCTTCCTAAACAGGGAAGCAGAAGAATTTGTGCACCAATGTTACACCAAGGAAACATACTTGAAAGCCTATGCAGGTAATGTCTGACTAAATCATTTTACTGTACAGGTTTAATCAGTTGCTTAAGTTTTTCAGCTATCTAATGCTTGTTTAATGTCATTTAAACCAGGCTCAATTCCACCTTTAGTTGGTGAAAGATATTGGCCTAAGGTTACTAGCCCTTTGCAGCCACCACCCATTAAAATTGGGCCAGGAAGGCCAAGAAAGAAAAGGGTTAAGGACCCCTATGAGAACCCAAAGAAGCCTGGTGGTTGACCAAAACAGGAGTAGAAATGACCTGCTCATTGTGCAAAGTGAAAGGTCATAATAAAAGAAGATGTCATGAGAAGGGGAATATTGTGCACCTGAACCTCTAGCTAAAAGGTCTAGGGGAAGGCCTAGGGCTGATGGTCAGCCATCTCACCAACATCAAATTTTTGAGACTACACACCTTTCAATGTCTACACAACCTACTCAGTTAGGGAAAGGTGTGAGATCTATAAGAGGAGGAAGAGGGTCCAGAGGTGCTCATGCTTCTGCTGGGAGAGGCTAACCACAACAAACAGGTGTTGGAGGTACAGAGTCTACTGGTGGTATAGGCCAAGGAAGAGGTGGGAGTGGCAGGGGAAGCAGAGGTAGGGGAAGCAGAGGTGGGGTAGCAGAGGTGGGGGAAGATCACATCTTCCACAGGGAGTTGGAGTGCTCTTTGTAGAAGATGGTTCTGCAATCACCAATGTATGATGTAATGATTGATTGAATCTTTTTCTGCAATTAGGTTTTCTGATTTGTAACTCTATTTTGCCTTTTCTATGTGACAGGCCAAAAGGGGGGCTCCTACCCATAGGACCAGTAGTAGAGGTGGTAGGAGTATGTAAGTGAATCAAGGAGCCTTAAATTACCTGATTATAGGAAGCCAATCAAGTCAGCACTCAACTTTGAACCAGCAGAATAATTAGAAGGGGGCCTATGTTTGTGAATCTGTTGTTTTTTGTTGCAAACAATTATGCCAGTATCTCAGTAGTAATTAGGGTAGCTTAATGTTTTTTGTGAACAACAATATTGTAGTCAGTATTTTGCCATTATGTGTGGCTGTGGGATTATTATATGTAATTTTGGATTCACTTTGGCAATGGAAGTGTATGTCATGTGTTTATGAAGTGATGTTATTGCTATTTTCAACTGAGTTCAACAGTGAACTAATTCCACACTTTTGCACATAAAAGCTTAAATTGATTTCATTTCATATGCTAAATTGGGTACAAGTCTTCAATACAAACCAAACAACAACAACATACTCCTACTTCAAATACACAACCATAATGCCAACAAAAATACAAAAAAAAAAATCAGAGTCCTACAGAAATTGGATTCTGCCCTTGAACAATGCATGACTTCAATCCTAAGTTGCCCAACTTCCCTTGTCAATTCTTTCACTTCTTCCTCTAGTTTCTCCTTCCTCCCTTGTAATTTCTTCACCTTTTCTTCCAACAGTGTCTTTTGAAACTCCAACTCTGCTATAGTAGTATCCTTCTCAAATATTTGAAATCGCAGCTCATCCTCATTGCTAGCTTCAATCCACTTCATGAAATTGCAATTTGTATCCTGCACAAAACCCCAAATTAAATTAAAAATTCTTCAATGAAACCCTAGTTCTGTATTTTACCAATAATATAATCACACTCAATTAAGAACACATTACAACTCCAAACAATTCAAATTCCTTAATAATTAGGAAAATACCGGCCATTTAGGACAACCATAAAACTTCGAACCAATGTTGTGCCCCTTCTTCACATTTCGCACCACCGCATCCAACCCGCAACTACACTTAGTTGTTAAATAACAACCTCCTCCACCCCTTGAGTTTACATACGAACCACATGAACCACCTTGAAACGACCTACCACTCGCCATGATTTGTAACACCGCAGAATTTGCTTTGCAACTGGAACAGGGCAACAGAAGAGAAAAAGAAGAGAAAGGGGAAAAGATTTCTAGTCGTTAAAATGAGGAAAGGTCTTTAATAAAGGTGGACAAAAGTGGAAAAGTAAAGTAAAATAATAAAAATAAAAGTACACAAATAAAAAATAAAGAAATAAACAAAATAAATGCCACGTAGGACTTTTACTTGCATTTGAAGGTTAAGTGACCTGTAGGGATTGAAGAAATTCAAGACCCCATAAAGTTAGGATTATTCTAGTATTAACGAAAGTTGGGATTATTCTACATAAATTAGACAAAGTTGGGATTAATATTTCTAATTTTTCCATTTATTTATTAAAACCAATTAATTAAACATGCTTTATTTCATAAATAATAATTTAATTCAATTAAATTCAATCACCAATAAAATCATATAAACATATTATTCAAATCATTCACTTTCAAAGGGACCATGAATCAATCTATTTCATTTTGGGTACTAAACTTTTCATTTATTTTTTTACCTTTTAGGTACTTCCACTTTTTTTTCACCGTTTGGGACCTCATGGGTAGAATTCGGCCAAAAAGTGAGTCCCTTGGATTAAAAAAAGTTAGTCCCTTATAAAATGACAGAAGAAATAAAATCCCCCCCAAATAAGTGAGTCCCCTATTTGATGCTTCTGAGAATAATTGGATGGGAGCATGTAATTGATGAGCACGTGTGAGAAGTAAACATGATTTGATTGGCTCGCCACCTATTCACCGTCTCTCCTCCATTGAAGCGTACTCACGAATTCTCCATTGAAGAGGCTTCTGAGTTTTATTTCCACCTTTTTTTTATTTATCAAATATTATTGCTTTAATTGTCAGTATTTTCAATTTTAAGGTTCTTCAAAAATGGATTATTAAACTTTTGGTTATAATTGCTCAAGTTATGAATGTTTATGACGATTGATTTTGTTGCTAGAATTTTGATATGTGCAATGTACACTGATTTTTTTAAGCGAGAAGAATTTAATGTGTTTTGGAGTTTAATTTGACAATTGAGAAGAATTTAATGTAATATTTTGGACCTCCATAGTTAGCCTTTAAACTAATTAGATTAATGCAATCAGTTTCAAATCAGTTTCAGTGTTTGATATGTTTCAAAAAAAAAAAATATTTAGTGTTTGATAAAATTATATATATTATACGGCCTAAGATTATATTTGCATAATGTCACTTCTCACATGTAAATAATTACTTAGTTTATAAGATTATTGTTTGAAGTTGTTTAGTTATTAGTTTGATTCGATTCGAATTAATGAAGGGGACTCACTTATTTTGTACAAGTTCCAATAAGGGGACTAACTTTTTTTTGGATAAAAACTGAAATAGGGGACTGACTTTTGCTCAGGTGAGTCTAAGTTGGGTTAAATGGCCGGAAACTTAACTAAAAGTCCCAAAAGGTGAAAAAAAAGTGGGAGTACCCAAAAGGTGAAAAAAAATGAAAAGGTTAGTACCCAACTTTATAATTAACTATGTTTTTATTTGATTCAATTATCATGTATTTATTAGATTTTTATCTCTTTGTAGATGCCGTATGATTTTTATATTTAGAATCAATCTCTTTTAAAAAAAAAAAGGACCATGAAAGAGAAAATGTGAGACAGGATAGATATTTTTATTATTTAAGTGGGGACCATGGAAGAGAGAGAGAAGTGATAAAATAATTTGAGTGGGGTTTAAAGTTAGAGAGAAAATTATAAAATACAGTGTAAAGTTACTAAATATAAAAGTGATGCATTTAAAAAAAAACACCCATAAAAGGAAAGTGATGCAAATAAAAAAACAAAGGGAGTATTAAAAAAATTGTAATAAAAAGATAGTGGGGTTAATAGTTTATTGAAAAATAATGGATGTGAGTGAAATGAAATAATAATAATAAAAAAAAAGTAGTAGTGAGTTTGGGTGGGGAACATGAGAAAAGAAAGATAAAATATGAAAATATAGTTTTTTGCCAAGAAAAAAAGTGTAGGGAGTAAATATTCATAGTGATGTAGAGATTTGTAGTGAGTAGAGAGAAACAAAAATTTCGTATTGTTATCCTCGAACCCTCAGTTGTTCTTTACTAAATGAAGTTAGCAATCTAATGGATTAAGGATGGAATATAATAATCTTCATTAATCAAATTGTTGTTGCCTTTGAATTTGTTCCTAATCGTGGTTTCCTTTAATTTTGTCATTCCTTTCGTTAATGATTCATGTACAATTTACAAGTTCCTTAAAAACTTTTTAGCGGCTTTATGTGTGTCCATGTCAATAATGCAATGTCAATTTCACAGATTCATACAATGGTCAAGCACATTCACAGTACAAGTACTAAGGTAGGTTGACGCCTACAATAGTGTGTCAACTATATATGAACAACTTTATAAGGAAAGTGTGGCAATAAGTTGGTTTCTAAAATGAGCTTTTCTAATTGCATGTTTATGTTGTTTGTTGGTCATGGCCTGTTTCTTATTGACTCTGCGATGATCCATTTATCACATTTGTGTACATGGTGAACAATTTAGCAGGGTTTGTTGGAGGAGATTTTTACATGTCATTTCTACATCAATCATGTCAGGATTTTTTTATTTTTTATTTTTTTTTTTACAATAGCAAATGGAACAACAAACAAACAACTACAAATTAGAAATAGTAACATGACACTTTCTTGCTATGTCATTAGCCTTTTGAACCTGTTCTCTTGGAACTTTTAGAATTGCACATCTGTTGAAAATTACACCCACTTCCTTAATCTATTTTACCATCCAATCAATGGCAACGTTCTTACCCAATCTATCTTGTAGGTTGTTAATGAGTGAGACAGAGTCGGAAAGAAGCAGGATCCCCTCCTTACCTTGTGTTCGGGCCCACTTCATAGCTTCGAGACAGGCCCAAGCCTCACATTGAATAACTGATGAGGTAGCCCCACACTTCCCTCCCTTGCTCATAGTATTATCCTATTCATTCCTTATGACCGCCCAGCCAATCCCTGCCCTAGTGGACTTCTTGTCCCATGACCCACCTACTTCTATAGTGAAGCTATCAAACCCTATCTTCTCCCTTCCCAGTTGCACATAATTGAACCCTGGGGGAATGACTGGATCATCCCTGCTCTCATAAGGGTTGAGGTTGTCGTGGTTGTCGTTGTGGATGAAAACTTCATGGTCTTGCAAAGTTAAATTAATGAATTCTGCAATCAACCCAGTAGTCACAGTAGTCCCATTGAAGCATCTTGCATTCCTAGCCTTCCACAATCCCCATAATGTCGCTATAAACCAAACAATACGGGTTCCATGCTTACCATCCTCGCTATAAAAATAGCAG